GGGATTCCGGGTTAGAGTAGGTCCCAAGCAGTCTATGCCTGTCGTGAGAGGCGAATAAGTGGATCGGGCGCTCAGGTTGGGGGACTTGGTTGATTGCGTAATCGCAACCGAGAAGTGGATCGTTGCTCACAATTTCCATCACTGGATAGATTATTTGTAGGCTGCCATCACATAGCTAGACTATTGATGAACAATAAAGGAGGCGATGGGGTCGCCTAGTGGCTAAAACGTTCGCTCGTCACGCTGGGCCCGGGTTCGATTCCCCACATTTTCTGGTGTCCCCCAATGTGATATTGCTTGACTATTGCGAAAGGCGGGGTAAAATCCAACTCTTTCACTAAACAACAAAGACACAAAGTAAGTAGTATGTTTATGGTTAAACATATATTTAGATGTAACAAAGAAAGATGCGAAAATATTCAACTTTCTTTAAACCTTTTATTTGAAATACAAAATATTTGAAATGGGGATAAGGAGGGGCTGGGATTTTATTGAAAAAACGAAATTGTCCCAGAAAGGTCTTGAATTTTGTTTTTGCTTCAGTCCTTTGAACACGTGAGTGTATATAGGGGGTGGGGTCCTCCCTCCCTCTTTACCTTCAGTCCTTTGAACACGTGAGTGTATATAGGGGCTGGAGTCATCCCTCCCTCTTTACCTTCAGTCCTTTGAACACGTGAGTGTATATAGGGGGTGGAGTCATTCCTCCCTCTACACCCACAGAGCTTTGAACACGTGAGTGTATATAGGGGGTGGAGTCATCCCTCCCTCTTTACCTTCAGAGCTTTGAACACGTGAGTGTATATAGGGGCTGGAGTCATCCCTCCCTCTTTACCTACGGAGCTTTGAACACGTGAGTGTATATAGGGGGTGGAGTCATCCCTCCCTCTTTACCTTCAGGGCTTTGAACACGTGAGTGTATATAGTGGGTGGAGTCATCCCTCCCTCTTTACCTTCAGAGCTTTGAACACGTGAGTGTATATAGGGGCTGGAGTCATCCCTCCCTTTTTACCTTCAGAGCTTTGAACACGTTAGTGTATATAGTGGGTGGAGTCATCCCTCCCTCTTTACCTTCAGAGCTTTGAACACGTGAGTGTATATAGTGGGTGGAGTCATCCCTCCCTCTTTACCTTCAGAGCTTTGAACACGTTAGTGTATATAGTGGGTGGAGTCATCCCTCCCTCTTTACCTTCAGAGCTTTGAACACGTGAGTGTATATAGGGGGTTGAGTCATCCCTTCCTCTTTACCTTCAGAGCTTTGAACACGTTAGTGTATATAGTGGGTGGAGTCATCCCTCCCTCTTTACCTTCAGAGCTTTGAACACGTTTGTGTATATAGTGGGTGGAGTCATCCCTCCCTCTTTACCTTCAGAGCTTTGAACACGTTAGTGTATATAGTGGGTGGAGTCATCCCTCCCTCTTTACCTTCAGAGCTTTGAACACGTTTGTGTATATAGTGGGTGGAGTCATCCCTCCCTCTTTACCTTCAGAGCTTTGAACACGTTAGTGTATATAGTGGGTGGAGTCATCTCTCCCTCTTTACCTTCAGAGCTTTGAACACGTTAGTGTATATAGTGGGTGGAGTCATCCCTCCCTCTTTACCTTCAGAGCTTTGAACACGTGAGTGTTCATAGGGGGTGGAGTCATCCCTCCCTCTATACCCTCAGAACTTGCAGTATTGTCATTTGGACATGATGTCACCAACCTCAGATCAGGCTGTAATGGGTTCGAATCCCTGCACGGCGATCACAAATGACCGTGTGAGTGATATGAAGTTAGTTCATATTTGGGACTTGGTCTGAGGACAGTTCATAAGGTAAAGTTTATTAGCTACTGTCGACTAAAGGCCGGTATAGAAAGAGATTCGGATACCTAGTTCTGATAGACAAAGAAACAACACATTACTTCAAAGCAAATATCGAGAAGGGAATGTCATTGATTCATTTTCACAAGATTAGGACACTGAGGGATAAATGGAAGTAGTATTGACAGGTATACATCTCCACAATGTTATCACGATAAATAATTATCTGACTGAATGCCTAAATCAAGGCGATACCAGACACAGAAACAAAAATGATTAAGCCTCCACTCACTCACTCGCTAGCTCGCTCGCTCGCCCGTCCGCTCACTCACTCGCTCGCTCGCCCGTCCGCTCACTCACTCACTCACTCACTCACTCAAGATTAAGACTGTTTCCCCCTTAACAAGGCCCAGAGTAATGGAGTGTTTGGATTAACGAGGTCCAGATAAAAGCTGTTTCCGCACTAACAAGGTCCAGACTAACGGTGTATTCAGACTGACGAGGTGGTCCAGACGAACGAGTGCCAGACCAACGGTGCTACACTATCCAAGTAACCAGTTACACCTCGACCTCCCAACCAGAACACGCAGAACGACCAATTAAACAGTAGGGTGCGCGGTATCTTTAGAGTTGTTAGAACAATTATGTTTGACATTTTTGCGTTTCGTTGATTTCCGCGTGTGAACAGGGCTGCCACATATGACCACGCACAGCTACCATGCAGAGATGAACGAAACTCTGTGCTTACTAAGTACGAAAGTTCCTGGTCTTTAAGCTTAATTTGAATTCTCACCTTTCGCCTACACAACACAACGAAGCTGCATAAAACACACATGACCTAAACAACACAACAGACCTGCATAAAACACACATGATCTACACAACACATCGAATCTGCATAAAACACACATGACCTACACAACACAATGGACCTGCATAAAACACACATGACGTACACAACACAACGAATCTGCATAAAACACACATGACATACACAACACAACGGAACTACGTCAACACAAATGACCTACAAAACACAAAGAAACTACATGAAACACAATGACCTACACAACATAACGAACCTGCTTAAAACACACATGACCTACACAACACAACGTACCTGCATAAAACACACATGACCTACGCAACACAACGAAGCTGAATAAAACACACATGACCTACACAACACAACGTACCTGCATAAAACACACATGACCTACACAACACAACGAATCTGCATAAAACACACATGACATACACAACACAACGGAACTACGTCAACACAAATGACCTACAAAACACAAAGAAACTACATGAAACACAATGACCTACACAACATAACGAACCTGCTTAAAACACACATGACCTACGCAACACAACGAAGCTGAATAAAACACACATGACCTACACAACACAACGTACCTGCATAAAACACACATGACCTACACAACATAACGAACCTGCTTAAAACACACATGACCTACACAACACAACGTACCTGCATAAAACACACATGACATACACAACACAACGGAACTACGTCAACACAAATGACCTACAAAACACAAAGAAACTACATGAAACACAATGACCTACACAACACAATGGACCTGCATAAAACACACATGACCTACACAAGACAACGAATCTGCATAAAACACACATGACATACACAACACAACGGAACTACGTCAACACAAATGACCTACAAAACACAAAGAAACTACATGAAACACAATGACCTACACAACATAACGAACCTGCTTAAAACACACATTACCTACACAACACAACGTACCTGCATAAAACACACATGACCTACACAACACAAGGAAGCTGCATGAAACACACATGACCTACACAACACAACGTACCTGCATAAAACACACATGACATACACAACACAACGGAACTACGTCAACACAAATGACCTGAAAAACACAAATAAACTACATGAAACACAATGACATACACAACACAATGGACCTGCATAAAACACACATGACCTACACAACACATCGAATCTGCATAAAACACACATGACCTACGCAACACAACGAATCTGCATAAAACACACATGACCTACACAACACAATGGACCTGCATAAAACACACATGACCTACACAACACATCGAATCTGCATAAAACACACATGACCTACACAACACATCGAATCTGCATAAAACACACATGACCTACACAACACATCGATTCTGCATAAAACACACATGACATACACAACACAACGGAACTACGTCAACACAAATGACCTAAAAAACACAAAGAAACTACATGAAACACAATGACCTACACAACATAACGAACCTGCTTAAAACACACATGACCTACACAACACAACGTACCTGCATAAAACACACATGACCTACACAACACAACGAAGCTGCATAAAACACACATGACCTACACAAGACAACGAATCTGCATAAAACACACATGACCTACACAACACAACGAATCTGCATAAAACACACATGACCTACGCAACACAACGAAGCTGAATAAAAAACACATGACCTACACAACACAACGAAGCTGCATGAAAAACACATGACCTACACAACACAACGAAGCTGCATGAAAAACACATGACCTACACAACACAACGTACCTGCATAAAACACACATGACCTACGCAACACAAGGAAGCTGCATGAAACACACATGACCTACACAACACAATGGACCTGCATAAAACACACATGACCTACACAACATGGGTACTTACATAGAAACAGAGTAGTCTACATGACACAAACCATCTTAGAGGGCATACTTCCATAATAAAACCACTGCTCCCATCAGGTAATTTATTTATTTCATATTCAATACATTTCCCCGAATTCTCCCACGCTCATTTTGTCATTTCTGGAAATACAGTGTGATGGATACACGACCTGTATATATTCTTGGAGTATGCAACACCGAGTAAAGCCGTATCCCCTGCTGTCATGATCAAGTAAAATAAAATCAGTCCATGTTATTCTGAGGGAGTGTTCATGCATAATGAGACAACTATAGTCTGGGAAAGAAATCCAATACATGCTATATTGTTCTCCTCCGATTTTGGATATACGACATTTGCATGTGTGTGTGAATGGCGGTATTGATCAGAGTAAAGCAATCTACATCCAGCTTCAACACATGTTGCATACTCCAGTTTCGATTTTGATTGCAAGCTTGTCCACTACGTGTATAGTTTATGAACTATTAGCGCTTGTATATAGAGCCTTACGCAGTCTAACAATAAAGTTTGTACACCAATGTGCAGTCTGTCCACAGCACATCATGAGAAAACGGGTAAATGGGTTACTGTGGGCAGTCCTCGCAGTTCTTTGGTTTCTTTTCACGACTGTGTTACTCTTTGGAATACTGTCCAACATAGTCAACCAAGATAGACAGGAGGAGGATCGGAAGGAGGAGACAAACGTCAGGCGGAACCTTCCTCAGACGAGGATTTCCACCACCACCAAACGGTACGTTACTGATAAAGGACATACTTATATGATTATCTTGAGATTATTGAACAATGTGTGATGTCAAAACGTATGTACCATTATTGCCATTATTAATTCTGATACCATCTATGATCGCACAAATATGATGCAAGCACAGAAATACGAATGGTCGGCAACTTAGGGGTAATTCTTATAAGACAATAAATATTTACAATCGAAACTTCAAGGTCCGCCATTTTGCAAAGATAAGCGTAGATTTTTTTATAAAATAATTATGAACGGTAATTTGTTTGTATGTGCACATTTACTTTTGCTGTTATTCTCTTATCTTTTATTTTTACTTCAAAATCACTGTAATTTCCTACATAAAATAATTTATGGAACGTTCTGTGGGCATCAGGGCAACTGTCCCTAGACAACGGCATCCCTACCCAACAAATAATATGATAAAAGTATCAGAGGAAAACTTTTATAAATATTACAATTTTATCAATGAAGCTCCAAATCTATTTATTCCATTTCATGCGAATAAATACGCGAATATGTAAACATGGGGGCAAGGGGTACTGTCCTGTGGCAGCTGCCAGGACGGCAGTGTTCCTTGAGGCTATTACTTTAGTATAAGGTCTATAGCGTTCACTGTGTACATGTACTTGTGTAATGACTGGCTGGGTCAGGCTATCCTTGTAAACATGTAGACCTGCAGGATAATTTGGAAAATAAGATTAAGTTAATACAATAGCAAAGGATTATTAAGAGAAAGTTCATCTGCATTTTATTGAAGTAAAGTCGACAAATAAGGCCCTTCCCGTGTCTATAAATTCATATAAACGCAAGTAGGTCAACTGGATTGGCTGCCATTAGAGACATTATTGTAAATGAGTCAGATTAAATCGAGCACCGGTTAATTACTCTGTGGCAGTAGGTTACATACAACGACATAAACTTCATAAACTCAGATTTCAGAGATGACAATAATGACTTTACATGAGAATGAATATGAAAGGTAAAATAAGAATCCAAATGTGCACATATCCGCAACATGCGTTCCGAAACAATATTCATACAAGACGATGGATAAATAATCGCAAAGAGCCCAAATATGATTTTAAATAATTTCATAAAATGAAATTAGTTTCATACAAAACGATGAGATTCAACGCAGGTCACTTTATTTCTTCTATTCCTTTACAAATGTCTTTGCTTAAATTGAAAAATATGTATAATTAATCATAAAATCTAAATTACCAGACCGAATCGCTATGTATCGGATATCCACACATTTATGCTGGTAACACGCGTTACCCGGATGTTAAAACAGATGGTGAAACAATACCAAGTATTCAAAACAAAGCAAATTGTCGTCATTGTTGTCGATATGAGCGGCGCGCACTACTGGGATACGGTACTTCCGGACATACCTGAACACTTGAGGATTAGTGATCGTACGTGGATTCGTTATTTGGCTTTCATATAATGGAATACATCGATTTAAACCTTTGTTACGCATGAATGAATCACATGTTTAATATAAACGATATGAATATATAAACAGTATTTGATGAGAGAAATACGAGTTTTAAATTATGTACCATTAATAGCAATTGCAGCGTGATTTCTTTTTCATTGTTCAGCGAAATTCAGCGGTCAGTATAACGATCAATTGTAACACACATTAAGGGACATAACAGTCAGTTGTGACACAAATCACGGGACATAACAGAACATAGAACATAGAACATGTCTTAAACCATTATCAGTCTACTGCTCCAACAATACGACTAATCGATCTTTGAAACAGCCTGTATAGTATCGACAGACGATGGGGTGGGGGACAAACATCGTCGTTTAATGTCAGAAACTGTTTAAGCGCTCCAACACAAGTTGGCATATGCTATTGCAGACCTAATCGTGCACTGAACAGACGCTATTAAACCATAAATTAGCTGCAGCTGTATATACAGCCCGCCCGGAATGTTATCCTGGCTGATAGTAACAGTATGCCCTGGAGTTATATATGTTACTGTCAAGTTAATTGTAACAAAGCGAACTTTCTGAAATTCCAGTCACTTCTTACAGTTAGCCTACAGATATAAGGTATAGTTTACGAACAACAAATCTCATTATGATATCATTTCAGGATGATCGAGTCACTGTTGGAAGAGAAAACTGCAAGAGCATATAAGTTTACTAGATATTCACTTGATGTTCAAAAGTCGCGCAGGCTTGATGCACATTTACGTAAAATGTTGAAAACACACAAACGACCTAAAGATAGTTATTACAGTTTCAATGTCACAAGAAGTGAAACGCTCTCAGTCACGCGAGATGTGATAGACGAGAGACCAGATGAGTGCAAGAAAAGGATGTTCAACTACTCGGCACTACCAACTCTATCGGTTGTCACTCCGCTCCACAACGAGGCTCTTACGACACTATTACGTCATGTTCATGCCATTTTAAATCGGACACCTCCGAAACTTCTCAAGGACATTATATTAGTAGATGACAACAGCACCTTGTCCTATCTAGGGTCTGACTTTCAGGAATATTTAAAAATTCTGGATTCCAAAATTCAAATAGTTCGAAATACACAGCGTGAAGGGTTGATATTGTCGAGATTGAAAGGAGAGGTGATGACACAAGGGGACGTGGTCGTATTCATGGACGCCCACATGGAGGTGTGTGAGGGTTGGGCGGAGCCTCTCCTGGAGAGGATAAAGAGCCAGTCTGCAATTGTAGTGCAACCTGACATTGCTGCAATTGACGGTGATACATTTAGTCTCTACACAGGGTTCAAGGTCAAATTCAGAGGAGGATTTGGATGGGACACGAGGTGAGATCACATATTTGTCCCTACATCAAGCATAATGCCACCTTAAAGTCCGTGCACCCACATTGTATATACGTTCCTTTTTTTAAACCCTAATTGTCACATTTTCATTTATGAAAAGTACTTTTCTTTATACGTGGTATATTTAAATACAGGAAATCAAGAAATCATACACTCATGCACGTTTATATATATCCTATTTATTAACTGGGTAATTAAATACAAATACGACACCATCTTGATGTTTGGTGTCACACTTATTCCTGAGAAATCCTAACTGTTCGTCGTGTTTGCCCCGATATAGGTACAGCTGGTTACCGCTGCCGACATACCACAGTCAGTTCCGGAACAGTGAATGGGATCCAATTCCTGTTCCCATCCTACAAGGTTCCTGCATCGCAGTCAGCAAGTCGTATTTCCATACTGTCGGACGCTTCGATGACGGCCTTGAGATCTGGGGAGGAGAACATTTTGAATTGTCCTTCAATGTATGGATGACGGGTGGTAGAATTGAAACCATGCCCTGTTCAAAGGTGGGTCACATCTTTAAAAGCAATAAGTACAGCTTTGGTCAAAAAAAGGATAAGAATTATATCGTTGCAAAGAATAATATGCGTGTGGCAGAGGTTTGGATGGATGAATATAAACACATAGTCCGAGCTGCTGTCAAAGCTTGGCAGAACCCTCTACCCGTGTTCACAGACGCTGATTGGAAGTCAATAGGAGAAAGAAAGAAAATGAGAAGGCGACGTAAAAGTGAATCGTTTAATTGGTTCTTGAAGAATGTCATACCTGAATATAAGATTCCATCGAAAGACGATTCCTTTTTTGGAGAAATTCAAAACGTGCAGACGAAAAGCTGTTTTTTCGTTTTTGATGACGACTACATAGGAATGACGTCAAAATGTGAAACATTTGTTATTATTCCTGAAAATTCATTTGCCTTTGATAACTCTGGGAGGTTAAAATATGGAGACAAATGTGTTGGATACGATAGAAGAACGTATTTACTTCTGATCACTGAATGTCCGTGTAAACGTGGAGGGAAGGACGGGATAACATGGTCCTTCACGAATGACCAGCTGGTGCTGACGGAGAAGTCGGAAACGTTGTGTGCAACGCAGGCCAACTCGGGCTTCAGCATTCATAATGGAAAGGAAATTGTTCAGTTACAGGCTTGTGATAAGAAACGCAAAGTTCAAAAGTGGTCTTTTCAGTTTCATTTTCTGTACAAATGAGCAAGGCCATGATATGCCTTATAAGTGTTCGTAGTCTGACACTAACTTTGCTGGTGCTACAATACATGAACATGAAGTCGTAGATCATGCAGTGGGGAAACGGTTACTAGGACCCAAGGTGCAGGTTGCTGTTCAATCAGTGTAATATAAGAATTAGCATAGTAAGGGGGTGATTGACTGTATCTTCAGAAATATGACTGTTGTTTTAGCTATTCACAGCAAGTGTTGCTTTTGTTTCGCTCCTGAGTGAGGATGTGATTGAACTGCATAGACCATGTTCATCTGTTAGGTGAGGATATATCTGTATGTAGTTTCAAAGTGGAACGTGAAGGTTAACCCAGAAATTGGTTCGTACAAAACTAGATTGTGAATTCTGTAAAGGACCACGAACGAGCAATGAATAATTAACAAATTGCATTGAGAAACACAGTTTTAGGTTTACAATCAAACAAGACAATACAAAGGGTTAAATAAGTGGCAACATCAATAAGTACATGAAGTTAACATGCCTTAGAATTAATGTACGAATGTCCAGATTTGTTTTACTGTAAAGACAAACCTGTCTCTGTTCTGGCATCCGTAACAGTGTTGTCGCTCTTACGGATAGCTTTCCAGAGACTTACCAATCCCGAAACTTCTCGAACGATCAAGACTGTCATTTTTGTCAACAACCATTATGTTATCATGATCTGTGTAATCAACTACCATGTACAACTGTAGATATCGTAGTCTTTCTTCAAATTACAAACATAATACATGACACGCGCGATCGCACATATGAACTTTAATTCGCTGTGTAATTTTTCAAGCGTGCACAATGTAATGTCAAAGGAAACATTCAACCAAACCAATACTATTTTGCCTTTTTGTCGAAAGTACCATGATACCTATGCAATCAAAACACAATGGTTGTAATGGGAATTTTCGTTACAGTAATGATACTTTAGAGATAACATTTACATGTTACAATAGTTATAGTATATATGACACTTACACGATAGATAGATACGATTTATAAGATAGTTACACAGTGAATATACGACTGTTGCATACTGTATGTACGAGAGTTATGACAGTTATGCTATGAACACTTGAATAAACATGTGAGAAATACAGTAAATGTTAAAGGTACATGATGAATATTTGATAGTTACGAAAGATATGATAGATACACGATGAGAATACGATGGCTACGATGAATAAGAAAATTGAAGGATGAATATTCGACAGATATATACTAGTTACATTGTATGTTTTGTTTGTTTGTTTGTTTATTTAACGCCGCACTCAGCAATATTCCAGCTATATGACGGCGGTCTGGAAATAATCGAGTCTGGACCAGACAATCCAGTGATTGATATCATGAGCATCGATCCACGCAATTGAGATCGATGACATGCATCAACCGGATCCCGTTAGTCGCCTCTTACGACAAGCATAGTCGCCTTTTATGGCAAGCATGGGTTACTGAAGACCTATTCTACCCCGGATCTTCACGGGTCTACATTGTAAGTATGAGATAGCTACGGTAGATATGGTAGTTATACTGAGTATACGATATATAACATAAGTTGCATGGTGACTGTACCGTATTTACGATAACCATGATACCAGTAATAATTGCTACTGGTTTTGTTCGATCACTGTTGTGTAATGTCCTAACATGACCACGCTCGCTGCATCCATGGCAACAGATGTCCGCGGTCTGTTTGCTGTGTCACGCAAAGACTTTTTCTGCGTATTCAATCGTTTGTTGGACAGCTTGGCTTGCAAGCTGCGTCTCTCACACGCAAGTCGAGTATGCAGTATACATGTTACTTATTTTTAACAGTAAAGACAAGAAATACTAATAGGGCTAGATTGACAAAAAATTGACTGAAGACAGTTTAATGGATTAAAAGGCATATGACATAATTGTTGGTTTTTTCAAATTTTAAGGGCTTACACAGTTTCGGGTCAATACCGGGATGTCAGTCAATACCTGGTGTGACCACCATTAGTATTGATCACTGCCACACATCTCCTGTACATAAAGTGGATCAGACGATTTGTGAAGGCCCTAGGGGTCCTCCTGCACACATCCAGAGCAGCTGTGCGTAGTTCATCGGCAGTTGTAGGGACTGGGCGCACATTGTGCAGACGCCTTTGAACCTCATCCCACAAGTGTTCGATGGGGTTCAGATCAGGGCTGAGGGCTGGCCACGGTAGAACACGGATGTTGTGTTGTTGCAGAAAGGCCATGGTAGCTCTGGCAACATGGGGACGAGCGTTGTCCTGCTGGAAAATGTGTTGTCGATGTTGTGCAAAAAATGGAACAACGTGGGGTCTGATCACTTGGTCGATATACCGCTGAGCAGTGACGCCGTGTGCCCGACTTTGACCAACATTCAGAAAGCACATGGGTCCAAGTCTCGCATTAAGTCCAATCCCTGCCCATATCATGACGCTAGGTCCACCACATGGATCCCTTTCCACAACGTTTCTGTCAGCCAAACGATCACCTCGATACCACCAAATTCTGACTCTTCAGTCTGCATGGGAGACACAAAAGCGACTTTCATCAGAGAAGATGACACGCCTCCACTCACGGTGACGCCAATTGTGATGACCCAGTGCCCACTGAAGTCGTGCTTGTCGATGCCGTGGTTGGAGAACAGGACGACGTGCTGGTCGGCGACATCTGAGGTTATTGGAACAGAGACGTCGGATCACAGTGTCCCGGCTAATGTGTCGATTATGTGTTCCTATGGTCTGTCGAGCACTTTCACTTGCAGTTAGGGACGGATCTCGCTGGTGTTGACGGGTAATCTGCCGATCTTGTCGAGATGTGGTGACCCTAGGACGACCGCTCCGATGGAGGTCATCTGTGGTCTGTGTAGCATTGTATCGATGCAGGAGACGGTAAATTGTGGTTATGTTAACGTTGAAATGACGGGCAACATCTTGGACAGACTCTCCAGCTTCCAAACGTCCGATAGCCTGGATTCTCTGAATTTGAGTTAGGCGTGGCATTGTTGACCAAGGAGTGGTAGGTCTGAGAATCGGCCACAGTTTTATAACCACTACAGTTCGTGACAGTTCTGGTATTTTCGATTTCGCGAGAAATGGGTGCATGATACCCACATATTCATTGAAATGGTGCGTTTTGGCGATTCGTTTTTATGTTGCGTTTTTACTCGGGGCTCTCAAAATGCAACCAAAAATATTGATAACACCATCAGGCTTCACATGCTCAAACTCGTATCAATTTATGGTTCCGTGTTTGTTACCTATTTCCTTAAAAACTACTTGCGTTTCTTATATATATATATATATATATATATATATGTATATATATATATATATATATATATATATATATATATATATATAGTCACACTGTGCAAAATGTTCACTTAGGAAATTTATTAACGCCAAAATATTCAGTTATTGAATGAGTTTATTTCAGTAAAGAGGCCACCGGCCCATTATACAATATGGATACAGTGGATTACAACAATAGCAGGTGCCAGATATCACAAGTGATATACACAGTGAAACAATTGAATTATTGCATACATTTGAAAAACAGTTGTGGTATCTTAAAAGCAAGAAAAATATATTTAGCTAATTTATTAATAACATGTTCATTTTGGCAAGACATAAGAGTGCAAAATTTATCAAATGAAGGTTGTGAATGGTTATAAACTAAGCGGCAAAAGAAAGTATAGGTTGGCAATTTGCAATTTTCCTAAAAACAGCGATAACTAGTGGAAAGTGGGTATTGGGAATATGACTGCCCAGGAACAGGTACCCAAAAACACCTCACCCGAACGCGCCACCTTTAACGGCGCTCGTGCGGTGACAAAAAAATGGTGAAACAGGTTTCCCGCCTATGGCATAAACTGCACGTGCATGTTAACTGTATAAATGCGTTCGTCTGCAGGGTATAACCACACGTGATGAAAGCACACGAAAGAAATGCCACGACTGTCACAGCAGCCGAGAGAGAGAGAGAGAGAGAGAGAGAGAGAGAGAGAGAGAGAGAGCGTGTGTGTGTGAGAGAGAGAGAGAGAGAGAGAGAGAGAGAGAGAGAGAGAGAGAGAGAGAGAGAGAGAGATCGGTATGGCCGAAATTGGGGCAACACAGGTCCAAATTGCCAGAAGGTTTGGTTCTTCACCATTGACAGTAGCCAGGCTGATTCAACGGTACAGGCAGACAGGGAGGACACAGGACAGGCCTAGAACCGGACAACCCCGAGTGACAACACCACTGGAAGACGGTCAGATACGGCTCATTCACCTGCGAAACAGATTCGTAACGGTGACGGTGACGGCGACGGCGACGGCAGCAACAGCGTTGGGACATCCCATTAGCTAACGTACAGTACTACGACGACTACGTGCTGCTGGAATCCGAGCGTATCGTCCTTTCCGTGGAATGGTACTGACTGCTCAACATCGACGCCTGAGACTGCGATGGGCGAGGCAGGTTCGACGCTGGCAAGTGAGAAATTGGCCACGAGTGCTTTTTACTGATGAAAGTCGCTTTAACTTGTTTCGAAATGACGGCAGAGAACGAGTTTATCAATTCAATTCCATTACTCAAACCACCGCCCGTAGGTATATGAGCAACATAATAACATACATGTATACAAAAATACAATGTGATCAAATGGCAACAGTGGTTTACTTTAGTGCAGGAAGTAATATATTTACAAATTTACATCTAAAGAGGTAGTGGAACTCGTCGGCTATGGCTGGGGAGGTACAAAGCTTACATGTTCGATATTCGCGTGGGATGCCCTCCCAGCGGCCAGTCTCAATCGGTAAATTATTATTTTGGGTTCTGAATTTTAAAATTGGAGTAAAGATTTCTGGTGATAAGAGAAAATATTGTTCAAATTTGAAATTTGTTTTGTAAATTCTATAGTTGCAAGCTTTGGAGCTTGTAGTTGAATCGATATTCCATTTTTGAATAAATTGATCTTTTAAAATGATCTCAATTTTTTAGACTAACAAGCCGTGGCTTACAGAATCCGGTTGATTAAAACCTACAGAAAGACCACACCTGTTTAATAAGCTCTTAATGGACTCAATCCAGTTGCTTCTATTGTTATCAATATTATTTATAGAATTTATGTATTTCAATATTAGGGTTGATAATTTTATAACAGGTCGATTATTACTTATATGGTTGTGCCAAAACGAGATCATTCTCTTATATATGAGTTTACTTATTGGAAATCTCCCAAATTCACCATACAACATATAATCTGGTGTTGAGTTTCTAAGATTGAAGGCAAGTTTAATGAATTTCAAATGTACTCTTTCCAATACTGAATGGTTTTCGTATCCCCAAGTTTCACAACCATAGGTTAGAATAGACAAGATTAGAACATCAAAAGCTTTGAGAAGGCAATCAACAGTTAGATTTAAATTCCTTGCTCTTTTTAATAAGCAGAACATGGCTTTTGTGGCTCTGTCAGCGAGGTTTTTAATTGCACATACAAAACGACGGTTTCGATGGAACAAAATACCAAGACAGACATAACTATTTACAATTTCTAAATCAACAGAGTTAAAATGAAACTTCAAATTCTGGGGTATTTTGGTACCTGATCCAAATATTAATATTTTAGTTATGCAGGTGTTTACCTCTCATTTCCAATTTTTGCAATATTTGTGAAATGAATCAAGGGACTTTTGAAGTTCAGGTGCGTTGTCAGCAAATAAGACTGTGTCGTCGGCGTCGAGGATATTAAGGAATTGTAAAATTATATCGAAATGTTCTTCTGTTATGTCAAGCTTTACACCGTTACAATTATCCGCGGATAGGTAATTTTCCAAGTCGTTTAAAGCGAGAATAGAAGTGGTGATAAGTTTTCACCTTGTCGTACGCCGGAAGCGGTTACAAAATAATCTGACAGATTGTTTTTTTGAGCAAACGCATGATTTAATATTTCGGTACATATTTTTGATAACATTCGAATATTTTCCACTAACACCTTGTTTTTGTAATTTATGCCATAGGCCGACTCTCCAGACTTTGTCAAACGCTTTTGAGAAGTCGATAAATGCGCAGAATAGCTTTTGCTTTGATTGTTTAGGTGTATTTATCGACGCAGAACGATTTG